CAATATTTGGGAAATTATGCATTTATCGCTTGTACACATAATTATTTTAATTGTAAGCTGTGTGAACGAAATGTAAAATTTTGATGTGTGTCCTTTCTTTTGTCTGTTTCAAAATCTGTATATGTGTTGGGAAATTTTGCATGTTGTTGTCTGTGTTTACGCAAAATTTTGAGGTTAATAGCCACATGTTGCAGCCGTTTGTTTGTGTTCTTGTAAATATTGATTGGAATACTTTGCAGGAGTTGTCGTCATTGCATCTGATGGATATTGGTCACCTCGCACCAACAATGTTAGTTTTCTCCTTAAAGACTTGCTACCAGTTCGTTTCATACATATGTTTGTAAACAAACGAAATCCATCACCAAGGAATACGCTGATTTTTTTTCGAATCAATTCTTACAGCAGCTCGTGTACTTTTGTGTTTGTGTTATTTGTTTTGCACAAATTTTGAATGGCCTCGCTTTGCAGCATCAATTTTGAACTTTTGTTTCAATTACGTCCATTTGATTACAACTCTTCACTGTTTTGTATCAGAAAATATGCATATACGTGGCAACTGTAATTTTTGTTGTAGTCAACTTATAACTTCACTGAACTTACATAATCTCAATCAATTGACATTACAATCTTTGTTTTAAAAATCATAAACGACATTAGCAATTTGACCGAAAATGCCCACGAAATTTGAAATGGACTGTCACAATTTAGGTAGTTTAAAGTGCATCGATCCAAATTAGGCAACAGACAAAATGTGTACACCACCCTTGTAATTTTCCCTTCAATCTAATTTGTATGATTTGCTCTTTCATAAGGGGAAAGAAAAGATTGAAGACAATTGCCGAACAACATATCCAAATGTCTGACACTATCACTGGCTCTTGTCGAAAGCGGCCAGCTGCACCATTCATTTGTTACAGGTACTAGTTGTTTATTTTGACAATCTGGAATTACATTTTTCGTACTGAAATTACGCGCCTCGTCGAAGTTCAGTTTGTGATGTTTCAAATTGGTTTTGTTCCGCATGTCTGAAAATGTTTAACTTGGTGTCGATTCAGTCCCGGATGTACGAAAGCTGTCTTATGCCGATTTCAGGGCCAGCGTGACATAAAAACTTGCATATATATATATGTATTCATATTTCACATTTAGTGATGATAAGCTTGACGATGCTTGCATGCAGCCAGCAACAATTCAAGGAAATGCAAGGGCCAGACAACACTCGACGAAAAATGGTGAGTGTTGAAATCTGTATTCTCTATAATACACTATGATGGAAACACATCGCTGGGTTGCTATCCACACGTTGTATTGAATGGTCGTAGTGGGCTTCTGATTGTTTCGCATTTACAGGATTGTAGCATGTAATAATGTCACCTTCCTATTGTTTTTGTAAATTTCAATTCGTTGTAAACGTCCAGCTACGTTTTGTCGCTGAATTTTTGCTGCAACTGTTATTTGTATTTTCAATCTTATTTAATTACCTACAATGCACGCGGATTGCGTTTGGCATAAAGTTGTAGTTACAGTAATTTTGGACTCATAGTTGTTACTTGTCTTGTACGTCTGTCATTTTCTTGGTTAAAGACTAGAAAGGAGATTGGGGAAAGGTGGAAGGCACTCCCCTCTGATGAGAAAAAGAGGTTTGTGGAAATGGCTAAGGCGAGCGCTGAGGAACACGCCAAAGTAGTACCATGTGCACCGAAGTCTGAAAAGGTCATTACGTACTTCATGTTTTCGTAAATGCATTTGGCTAGGTCCTGCTTTGCTGACATTGTTGGTTGTTTTTTTGTATTAATTTAAGGGTAAAAAATGTGCAGGGTAAAAGGCAACTCCGCATATCATTGAAGTCAATTGTTGAGCTAGTTAACCGGTTCAACGAAGCACAAAAGCAGGCAGTAATTGACATTGGGTTTGCTGGCCTCCTGGGGATGAAGTGTACACGTATAGATCACAACTTGTGCGCATTGTTGGTATAGAACTTCGATCCTGACAGTAGTTCATTGAATGTTCATGGTTGTCAAGTCAGGCTCACGTGTAAGGCAGTTAATGTTTTATTGGGAATACGGTGTGAAGACGATGACGTGCAGTTGGCTGGGTCATTAGAAGCATATCCTAATATCTACGATGAGGTTGGAGTTGTTAACGGAGTCATTCCTTTGAACAAGTTGAGACTTTATCTGACCGAGACTACTGGTGCGGAGGACGAGTTTCGACAGAAATTTGCGCTGTACGTGTTGGGGGCCATGTTGTGTCCTACCACAATGACCGGCTTGAAGCCATCGTTCATTCATGCCGTGAAGGACGTGAATCGTATGCGAGCTTGTAATTGGGCAAAGTTGACACTGCAATTCTTTCACAACGGTGTTTGCAAGTATAAAGGTCATCGCGGTGCAACTGGATGTGTTTTCCTGCTAATGGTATGCCAATAACTTGATTTTTTTTTCCATTCCCCCCTTCATGTGTTTCATGCATTCTGTCATGGTTCAACAAATTGGCCTTGATTGGGACATACAATGGTACTTGCTTTGTGAGTACGACAAACAACACTCTTCTTGACAAAGTATGGTACTTGCAGAAATATATTTTGTGTGACTACCGTCATGAATTTAAGAACAAAGAGTACAGGGCAAAAAGTATGCCGAACCTCAATGGAGGAACCAATTAAAACTACGTTGCGAAGAGGGGAACATGTACATAAATTTTTTTTCTTGGTTTCATCAATAAAGTCCTTGGTGTGCTGTACATTTTTTTTCCCAACAAACATTGCATGATATGTGCCTATAAAGTTGACATCATCCTCAACAAAATCGGTATGCTATGTACGTTCCACTGCAAAATTGAGAATAATGAATGTCATTGTTACTGAATATAGTTCATTTTTGTGGGAAGAACAACTTAATTATGGTGTGCCCCTTAATGTCCACAGCTGTTGTACCTTGATTGTGTTTGTCTGAGCTCGACTACGACGTGGCCCACACCTCGGCTTTATGATTGGGGTGATAGCCAAATACGGGAGATGCTGCGATGTATCAGAAGGAAGCAAAATTTCCCAACAATTGCGATAAGCACTCCTACCACTGTGCACATTTCACACCATCGACCCACTTGTCTTCAATATACAATGTCAAACTTCATTTATGCGTTTCTATGATTAGGTGGAGTTTGATTACAGTAACGCCGATGATGCTGACATGGATGCATGCCATGTCGAGAACCAACAAACAGGACAGTACAATGAAGTCCGTATGAGCAATTTGGAGTCCGACATTCGCGAACTGAAGAAAATGATGAAGCAAGTTCTCCACAACCAAACAGATTTAATGGAGGTGTTGCGACATTTCGAAGGCAAGCAAGTTGTTGGCAATGACAAGGTAATCCATCTAAGCATTATGCAATTTTCACACAGTTGAGCCACATCATTTGAAGATGGTTTGTAAGACTAAGTTTACGAATGTGTATGTATGATTAGGTGGAAGGCAATGATGTGTGTATCATTAACCTCTCCTCCAATGTTGCTCAACTGAAGGAAATGCTGAAGCAACTGCTTCAACGTTTCAGTTTGGGCTGCAACGAACCGTTCACTGAACAAACCAATTTACATGAATTGAAGCAAATGCTACACCACCTCATCGAAGGTATATTCTCTATACCGCAACCGGCAGGCGTGGCCAAACAGGGTGTGGACCCTGCTGTTGGAGTCGAGGCGCATGACGATGGCGTGGTCAAACCATCTGACGAAGTTAACCCAATGGAGTGTAATATTTCAGATATACAAGGGGTGGATCACCAACAACAGATTTTGAAGGGAACCTTGGCAAGGGACAAAAGTCATTTGCATGATGGGCACAAGCTGAACATCGAAGAAGGTGGGGACAACAACAAGAAGGGAGGCCTTCAGTCAGGGGAAACATATGAAACTGAAGATAAATACACTCCTGACCTTCAGTCAGTGGGCGTGAAGAACGTGGCGTGCGATGTGCATATTTCTCCTCTTAAGCTTGGCAAACCATTGGGAGCAACTGGAATCGTTAGAGGAAGTGCAAAGGGAAGACGAAAAGGAAAAGGAAAAGGAAAAATGCGCGGAAGTGGAGTTCAAGCCACTGAGGTCGGGGATATGCAATTGTGCATCGATAGCAAAACAAATAGTGGAGTTGACGACAGCAGTTCACCTGTGGATGGTGATGGTGTGGACAACGTGAACAAGGTACAAATACTGCCTTTAATGCCCCACAAGTTCTGAATACCCAATTCATGCCCACATCAATAATGTGAATCAGTAATTTTACAATCATCTGTGTTGTATTGTACTAGTTGTCAAAGAATTGTATGTTTGCAGTTATGACTGCTGCCATATGTTAGTACACATTTCTAACAAACTCCGCACCAAACATCACAAGTTGGGAAAACTCTGAGGCTCACAGTTTTTACATCATTTTACGTTCTTTTTTATGACTACTGACCTTGTAATGTAAGCTTCAATATTTTTATGAAATGTGTACTGTTATTTGGTTGTTTATTTTTGTAGGACTCGTGGACGATGTTGGACAGCGAAGGGTTGTTATCGGCGGAGGAACAAAAACTTCTTCACTAGGAGATCCTGAGGCAAGGCGCATAGCCGAGACCTCCGGGAACTCCAAACGAACACAAACATGGATGATCACCGGGTGTTCAAACGGTGACGTCCAAGTCTTGAGGACGGTCAAAAATGGGGTGTCTACAAATGTGTTGTTTCATTTACTACTTGCAAATTTTAAATGACAGTCTATTGTGAAATAACTATCGTTCTAAGGATCATTTATTGCTTGTAGGGACATTGTTGTTTCCATGAATCTTCATGGACGGGCATGTGAAGTTGGCACCCGGCGTGACATGCGCACGCCCAAACCAGGGTCGTGGCTATCCGACACTATAAGTGTTGGCTGCACAAATATGAATCTGCTTTTTTCAGTACCCCTAACTCAGAAACCTTTCTAATCAACTTGCCTTGTGTCTTGCATACAATGTTCCAGCCAATTAACTTGGTGGTGGTGCAATTGACTAATCGACAGAGGGATTTACACAATGACGGGAGGCACACTGATTGGTTCTTTCCCGTATATCTGTCGGTAAGTAAGTGTTTAAAGCTACGTTGTGTATTGTGTATGACATATTTTGACAAATGTTTCCATCAATGACCTTTATGCATTACACGTGCAGACTTTGATTCTAAATAAAGATATGCAACCTCTGCACCATGAACATATCGTCACATCATTTTTCGGACATGACAGATACACTGGTGCGATTGATGCATGCCAGAGGGTAATATCAATGTTCGTCCCGTTATATTAAAACGAAAATATGAAAGCCATTACATGTTTGCATGGCCCCTAAACAAGGTCTGCCGTAGTGTTTACGTGTAGATTTACATGCCTTTCAATTACAGAGGAGTGCATTGGTTGTGCGTTAAAATTGATATGGTGGACCGTGTAGCCTACCTATTCGACTCAGTCCCATCCAACCGACCGAACAAAAGGAAGCTAAATGCAGCTAAAATTTTGGTATGTCCTTCTGGTGCATTTCTGAACACTACAAAAAACTTGAACATCCTTTACGTAAACCAACTTCAACCTTGTGGAACAGGTTGAAACTATGCACGACTTGCTGCAACTACACTTTGGAAATGATTATGTTACAGACGTGCGTACCTTCCACCGCTGCATGTTAGACGAGAGGCCAGTACAACAACTGGACGAGTAATCCACAATCCCTCCCTCACATTAATGTCCATGCTGCATGACTGACTTAACGAACCTATTAAGTATTGACGACAACTTTAATGTGAAATTATTTTTGTAGCACGTTTGACTGTGGGATGTTCGTCATCAAATTCATGCAGCAACCTGATTTAAGCCCCGGTCCACACAAGGTACATTCTACCGCTTAATTTCCATTTGTCAATCAAATCCTTCCTCGTACGTCCTCCAATTTTAACTGATTTGTCTTACGATTTTTGTGGACAAAGTTCGCTCCCTCTGTGCGTCATAAGTTGTTGGTTGACATCGTTATGGATGTCAATAATGCAAAGATCGCAGAGTACCGGGACTGCCTTCATATGAGCAATGCCACAAGCTAGGCCAGTGATGGGAATGGGCTGCCAGTACGCCACTAATTTGGGTGGCAATAGGACTTTAACTAATTTTTTATTCTTTGATTTCAATATGGATGTTAATTATGGGTCCCCAGTATTGTTTTTGCTGGATGATGTAAATATGGACCAATTGCAAAGTGCAAGTCAAATGTAAACATGGATCAAACATGTCGACGTGGCTGCTGACTTAGTACTATTTTCTTTACGCATGTTTCTTGTTCGGATGAATGCGACTGTAACTGTATATAATTTACGGCTGCTTTTGTTACCGAAGTTAATTTATAATTTAATTACAAAAAAGGGAAAATTAATTTTCAAAAATGAAAGAAACCACATTATGAATGAAAACTCAATACTCTTCGTAGGTAAGTTATATATCAGCCCATTAGCACATATGACTCCAGCCAAAAAAAAACTTTCATGGCTTACAGGGAAGGATAAAAAAAAAAATAAATCAAATCTACATATCTGCTGCATCATCAGCAGCGTCTTCTGAAGAGTTGTCCGTACTGTCTGACTGACTGTCCTCATCCATTGTCTTATCAGACTTCGCTCCGTCCGCCGCCAATTTGTCATCGGTCAGCCAATCAACGTTCTGCTTGATAGCGCCGACTTGCCGCTCCAAACTTGACAACCGTGTGTCCACTTCATTCAGCCTTTCGTAGATAGCTTGCAACTGCTGGAATACAGGAGCAACATGAGCTTCAACAATAGCTTCAATCTTGTTCGAATCGGACATTTTGTAGGAATATGTGTATGGTTTATTTTACTGACTACTTTTTTAAAGGAATGTACAGATTCATAATATTACACAACACTATGCTGTAAGTATTTGTAATATATGGTACATGACTTGTATGTTTGCAGAAGACCTCATGCATTGTGACATACATCGTATTAATTTCTCAAACTGGCCGAATTCATCTTGCAAAAATTCGTTCCTTCTTGCATGCACCAAGTCATCCGTTCAGTACCCCTGATCGTCCATTATTTGGCATTTCCAACACACATGCATTGTACCTTCCATCAGTACTAGCCCACTGTCATTGATTTCCACACCCACAGTTCATCATACAGTCACATTCGTCATTTGTATTTGTGCCCCAAGCCAATTACATGTCTACTCATCCATAAAGGTTAGCAAAATTGCTCTTATCAGATACATATGCCGTTCCAATTGCACCGAACCTTTAAATGCAATACCCGCAGTCATTAAGTTGCTTTTACGCAGTTTGGGTAGTTGTTGCCACCAAACAACAATAAGTGTGTTCACGTCTTTAAACCTACCACCAACGTATTAATGACTATGGGTTGAAGGTAATTTAACATTTACAACCAACCACAAAAAAGTTTGCAACCAGTGTTGTTTCCTTTGCATTTGGGTTTGTTTTTGCGTCCATATATTCTTCGTGAACCTGCGAAAACAAAGTTGGACTCAATCAAGAAGCTTCACACCTATGGATGCACACCACGGTAAACGTGGTCGTGGACAATCACTTGCAACGGCTGGCAGCTCCCGACCGAAGTCACCAGAATTGGATTATGCAGGTGGGTATATTGATTCCTTCGGTGATCGACGTTTCTTTGAAACAGGGTTCCCACTGTGGAGTTTTGAACCTCTACGGGATTACAACTGCACCCCAATACAAGATGCTTGCCTGGGGAAGTATTTTGGAATTCCAGTTTCACTGTTTGCCAAACGAGTTCAGTGTGAACACCACTGTCGATGTGCTTTCCTGAAGGTCACAAAAGCCCGATCGGTTGAAATGCAGCGGCAATTCCCTCATGTCAGCGACTCCCAACTTAGGCATCGTTTGCAAAGTGAGGTTGATCAAATGACTCGTCGACTCATTAGGAACTCACAGATAGAGGACGCAAAGGCAGAGTCGAAGATACATGGATCGAACCCGGCATCTGCGATAAAGGCTATAATGGAGGATCCTGCACTGGTGTCGGACCCTGACCTTTCAGATTACTCAGACTCCGAAGTTGTTGATTTGAGCGAGGATTAGCAGACCTGGACATGTGTATGACATAGTAAGCGTAGTCTTGTGAGATGGCATCGTCGCGCGAAAATAAACGACTTAGAAACTAACAGACCGTCATACTCTGCTAACCATTGCAACTAAACCCTGCTCTAAGTCTTCATCAAAATGATTTGTTGAAGGTATTTTTTTGGCTCACCGTCCTCGACTAAAATCTGTCTTATAATTTTTGTTGGTACGATGACAAGGTAATATTTTTGTAATGTCAATGACCGATATCAGAAACTATCATTAACCTACGTTTTGTTGATTACTTCATGTTTGAGAATCGTTCAATATGGACAACAAAGTTTAAGTGTCGGAATCATTGACTGGAATCACAAGCTGTAACTGCAAACAAAAATTGTGCACAACCAGCCAACGGTCTCATACACTGTTACCATCAATATGGGCACAAAATGTTTTATTTTTTCAAACACAACGGTTGTGTGGAAGCATACCCCATGGGGTCAACCTGTGCATTACCAATTTTTCTCCCATTGTGCATTATTATGAACTAATTAGCTCCCATTCAAACAAAAAAATATACAATAGACCATGCAGAAACAGAGTATTGATATTCATTAATGAAGAAGTCAGCACGATGGTGAAAAAATGTACCACGCATCCTATATCTGCTTTCAACTTGCTAACAGATAATAGTTGAGGCCACAGATAAGTGACAAACAGATACTAGTTGACAGATAACAGATTTGCCAAATCTGTTAATTACAAACAAACCTGCAACACATAACAGAAGTTGTTCATTACAACCAAAATTGATGCACCCAGATAAGAGAACCTACAACAGAAAACAGGCCACAGATAAGTGACAAACAGATACTAGTTGACAGATAACAGATTTGCCAAATCTGTTAATTACAAACAAACCTGCAACACATAACAGAAGTTGTTCATTACAACCAAAATTGATGCACCCAGATAAGAGAACCTACAACAGAAAACAGGCCACAGATAAGTGACAAACAGATACTAGTTGACAGATAACAGATTTGCCAAATCTGTTAATTACAAACAAACCTGCAACACATAACAGAAGTTGTTCATTACAACCAAAATTGATGCACCCAGATAAGAGAACCTACAACAGAAAACAGGCCACAGATAAGTGACAAACAGATACTAGTTGACAGATAACAGATTTGCCAAATCTGTTAATTACAAACAAACCTGCAACACATAACAGAAGTTGTTCATTACAACCAAAATTGATGCACCCAGATAAGAGAACCTACAACAGAAAACAGGCCACAGATAAGTGACAAACAGATACTAGTTGACAGATAACAGATTTGCCAAATCTGTTAATTACAAACAAACCTGCAACACATAACAGAAGTTGTTCATTACAACCAAAATTGATGCACCCAGATAAGAGAACCTACAACAGAAAACAGGCCACAGATAAGTGACAAACAGATACTAGTTGACAGATAACAGATTTGCCAAATCTGTTAATTACAAACAAACCTGCAACACATAACAGAAGTTGTTCATTACAACCAAAATTGATGCACCCAGATAAGAGAACCTACAACAGAAAACAGGCCACAGATAAGTGACAATGCACCGAAAAAATTCAGTCACCCACAAAGCATCCACAAAATTCATCCACAGAGCATCCACAAAAATGAATCCACATACCATCCACAAAATTCGTCCACAGATCTGCCAAATAGCATCCACAAAGCTCTTACAATGACACCAATGTTTCCCAAAATTCATTACAGACTAACATTATAAGTCACATCATAATAACTTATAAAATTCATTCCGTACATTCATTCCATAATAAAATTCATTCCACAAAGCTATTAAGTAAGTTACATAAGTTACATCATAATAAAATTCATTCCATAAACATTACTTACATCATGAAGTACAATACAACAAAAACTGGTACAAACTTCCATTCAATTTCCCAAAATACAAACAACTACGAAAGTTACATGATCAAGTACAAAATGATAGAAGGGCTGTGCTACATCCCCCGAATTTGGGGGCCCCTAACCCCCCAAAAAAAAAAAAAAAGAAAAAAAAAAAAAAAAAAACCAAAACGACGTCGTTTTGGGCATTAGGGTATTTTTTTTTTTTTTTTGCCTTGGTTTGAAATTTAGGGGGATTAGGGGGCCAAAAATTAGGGGCATGTAGCAAGGCCCTAGAAAAAATAATGAAATACACCATCGCTTTGATTATATTTTCTATCCTTTCAAGCCTTCGACCATGGTCATTTCCCAAGTCATGAAGCCTCGTCCTTACATCGTTGAAGTGTTCTACTGTTAAAGCATCACCAGCTCTAGTGTTGGAAGGGATTGTGGACATAACGCCTTCATCATCTTCAGCCACGAAGTTGAAGTAATTGCAATGGGGAGTGGGAGTGGTACTCTACAATGCATGACAATCAATTAGTTGAATACGACAAATATTACTGTGACTACTAAAGGATTAAAATTTCCAATACATACTTACATATTTTGATGGGCAAACAAAGCACAAACGCCCTTCATTTCCATTCTTATTGTTCTGACAATACGTATGGCAGCGGTTCTTCCACAATTGCACACATAGGCTTTCGGCAAGGAGAGCAGGTCGGTTATCAACAAATCAGTATTAGCTTGGGAGATTTAAGTTCAGTTTGATAATAGTTATCAATGTTGATAATAGTTAATTCAAGTCATGCAGCTAACACATTAGTTGATAGCAGTTCATTACAACAATTCATGCGTGATTGACAACAAATTCAGCAAAATCACATTATCAATCACACATTGAAAATTACACAACTATATGCATTCGTTCAACTAATTATCAATCTGCATAATCATACTATGTTCTGCAAAGATGTGATCCTTTCATTTTATGTTGGATCAGTTTCTGCGTATTCATACTACGTTCTGCAAAATTTATACTTTAACTCTAAAAGGTAAATGCATAAATGTTCGTCACAATATGTGCCACATTTTTCAAGCATACCATTTATCTATCTGCATAACAGTAATTTTCAAAGCCCTAAATTTCAAAGCCCTAATTTTGAATGAGTAATTTTGAAAGCCCTAATTTTGGAAGCCCTAATTTCCAAATTTCAAATCTTTTTTGTCAGTCACAACCCTAACTTTTTAATTTCAGTGTTTGGAGGATGAACCTGGTTCATCTATGGCCTGAAAGCCCACGTTATCGTCAACAAATTCCTTCTCTACAGCCAATGGTGGTCGCGGTCGAGCTATGGTTCACGAAGCAGAGAATATGAGGGCTACAGCGGTGGGTTGGGTTTACGAGTGGGTGGCCGTCGGGAGTGGTCGTCGGTCAGGCTGGGTTCGGTGGAGGACGAGTGAGTGTGACAGTGAGGGGGAGTGAGAATGAGATTGAGGTGTATACTTTGTATAACCTGTATAGCAGAGCGGGAAAACGAAAATTTATGTTTAGTTTGCATTTGGGAGACGAGTTTTAAAGAAAAAAATTTCTAAAAAATTGTTTGGTTTGAGTTTTTCTCAAAAAATTTTCAAAATCACTTTCTCTCTCTTACACATCAATCAATCACTTTTTCTCTCTCCTCTCTCCTTCCCAATCACTTTTTCTCTCACACACATCTACTCAAATTCTCCCAAAATATCAAATCATCCCAAACTCCTAAAAAAACAACTCTCCCAAAATACATAACCAAACAAACCAAAAAAAAATTTAAACTCTCTCCCCAAAATTTTTTTCAAAAACAACTCTCCCAAAAACAAACCAAACAATCTTTATTTTAATTTTTAGTCCATAAGCCAAAAAATCACTAACAAAAGACAGTATGAATAAAGATTGGGACCCCCTTTTCCCGTACGAGGATCCTCTCCTTGCAAGCTCGTCCTTGCGCCCGTCCTTGCAGAGCCTTCGGGCCTACTTTTAGGCCCAATTTTGATAATCCGAACCGTTCATATTTTATGATTTATTCAGTATATCATACCTGTAAAAAATCAAGTTGATCGGATATCAGAAAACATATGTTCAGAAAACGGTTTATTAAATTCGTTAAAAAAATAGTTTTTAGTTTAATTTTTCAAGCACATACTTTCTGATATCCGATCAACTTGATTTTTTACAGGTATGATATACTGAATAAATCATAAAATATGAACGGTTCGGATTATCAAAATTGGGTCTAAAAGTAGGCCCGAAGGCCCTGCAAGGACGGGCGCAAGGAGGAGCCTGCAAGGAGAGGCTCCTGACCCCTTTCGCCCCACCCCCTTTGACCCCCTTTCTTTTTTGATTGGTCACTTTTTCTTTTTCTTTTTTTCTTTTTTTTTCTTCTCCTATAATCACCACCCGCCACGTGTGTGTGGGGGGTGGTTGGGGTTGAAGTTCGAGGGGGTCGAAATCACTGCTAATTTATAAAAAGCAACAACTCATACCAAAATTGAATGATTTTATTTTCTCTCTATTTTTTGCACATATTTTTGTAAAAACCCAAAAATTCATCCCAAGCATACTAGGTATGTTTGGTTTGAGTTTTACAGATGAGTTTTACCAAAAAAAAATTCCGAAAATTGTTTGGTTTGACATTTTTCTGCAAAAATTTGCAAAAATCACTTTCTCTGTTACACATCAATCAATCACTTTTTCTCTCTCATCTCTCACTCTCAATCACTTGTTCTCTCACACACATGTACTCAATTCTCCCAAAATGTCAAATCATTCCAAACTCCCAACAAAAAGTTGTCAGTCAAAATGTACAACCAAACAAACCAAAAAAAATTATAAACTGTCTCCCCAAAGTGTTTTCCATAAACAAACCAAACAAGCCCACTAGTTTTTTGTACCTCATATTTTAGGCAAATAGCCAAGAAATTTCTAAATCAGGCCGTTCAATGTGTACAACTCGTCGAGTAGTATATGTCTATTAAAAATCATGGTCATCGGATATCGGTAACTATATGATCAAATCATTTTTGTATAAAAATAAGGGATGGTATTATAGTTAACAGTTGAAAGAAAACTACTCCGATCAGATAGCTTTCGATATTCGATCAACATGATTTTCCATAGGTATGCAGTACGCGACGAACTGTACACATTTAATGATTCAGATTCTCAAAACGGGTCCCCTGATTGCCCCCACGGGCCGAACAACACCACCCAATGCAATGCCCAATATTTGTGTATTCAGAATACGTTGGGATTATGATACCCTCGATTTGTTATATAGATTTGTTGGTTTGGCCCCTGTTATCCTGTGTAATGTACTTACTGTACTTCCTTAGTAATTAATTTGCTGTCTCGGTTTGTTTGTACTTATGCGATCGATATGTCCAGCCCTGAACGAAAATAACTTACGACTTGGTTCGCATGTAACAGTTTCGTTATAATTCAATCGCTAATATGTCGACTACTTATTACTGTGAAGACGTATTTTGTTATAATTCTAGAGCTAATATTCTAGTTACATCCACAATGGATGTGTTATTGTATTTGTTACTGTCAGTTGTTAATTTTTGGCGAATGAAGTTTCTTGTAATCCACCAGCCTGTTAGTCGCGTGATACATTGTCTGTTGACCAGTCGGTTCGAAATTTTACCCTTTATGAAATTTTATTCATCGGCTTGTATGAAATTTTAATTTTAATTTCTAGCCCGAAAATTTAACTTAGCATTACCCTACCTTACGCTACGCCTCGTTTGTGAAAAATAAACAAAAACTAAAAAAATCAGCAAAAATAATTAATAACATAAATTGGCACGTCAAACATATAATCAGTGCAAATTTCCTGTCACAAACATCATATCCAAGTACAACAAAATCTATTACTTTGAAAACACAAAAAATTAAATTTAAAAAATATGAAAATACTAAAATAACATAAAAATAGCAACTTCCTAACCACCTTTTAGGGCTGGTTTGGCATGTTTACAAAAAGCCAAAAGTCAAAAAGTCACTATTTTGACTTGAATCACATTATTTTAAGTCACATCACCTCTCACACACATCATTTCAACCCCCAACCCAAACGGAACCCATATTTCACAAAAAGTGAAAAAGTACATTTATTTATATTTAAAAAGTGAGGAAAAAAATTGGACTAAAAAAGTGTAATTTTTGTCTTTGTAGATGAAAAAAATGAGGAAAAAAATATGGATGTTTAGGTTAACTTTTTGACTTTTATGAAAAAATGTGTATTACAAAATTGTATAAATTAATGTGTAAGAAAAAATTAGAATCCGAAGTTGTGTAGCCGTAATTTTTGACTTTTTGTGAATAGTAATAACTTTTTGACTTGTTGGTTTTTTTTCCCAACTTGCCAAACTTGGCCTTAATATGTAGTGTCACGTACGTTTCCGTTTCCCTCCCAAATTTGGAACAAAAACCAAAGTCGCCAGACAGCGCTTTTGAAATCCTATAGATGCAGTACTTTTCATGATGACCCACATGCCGTAGCCTTTCTAATCTCACTAACTCATTTCCATTTCCCACATACAAATTTCGGCAACTTTACTGTCCCTCATTCTCTCTCCATTTCGGTTTTGCTGTCCACCTCCAGTAACCCACTCTCTCTCTGTCTCTCCATTTTGACTGCGCCAGGTCGCCGACGGTAACAGTCACCATTTTCTCGGGCATGTGTGAGTCTGTCTATTTTTTATTTCGGAGCACATTATTATTATGACCTACTGTGTTCCACTCGCACGACATTACCATTTCTCAACTATTAAACTGTTCCTCCTTAGGTCATTGAAACCATACGTACGATTAGATATACAAACTACACGGGTGACAAATTGATATTGCCATTGAGGAGTTCCAAAGTGACAAACGGTCTTCGTTGAGCAGTGTAGTCGGGTTTTTATTTCTCTGCATAAAGGTAAGTTGCGTATGGGTGCTGTTGGGTTGAATGTCCGATGTGGCCCTGTTTCAAGTGTGCGCATTGGTTGTTGATTCTGGCTTGAAGTCGTAAATACTATAAAATGAGTACAACATATGGCCAATTAATTTTCGTAAAACAGTGGCATACCATATCTGCATAAATTAACGACAACATATCGTACTTGAAAATAAACGAAAAGTACCACTCGTACAATGCACATACGACTCAATGGTCCGTTGATTGTAAGTTGTTAACAGTCAATTTCGTTTTGTTACAATTTGGGAGTAACGTTCTTTCTGCATCCTTATGAATATTGCATGAAATTCTTTGCAGGAATTATCGTAATTGGATATGGGCGACATGTTAGACAATGCGAAGCAACTGTGAGTTTATGTCGTTCAGTATTTGATACAGTTAGGTTTGCAAGGTTATGTTTCCTGTACCTACTAAATACCACGGTCTGTTCGTGTATGGCTTATTGTGCCGTTATGTACTGCCATCAGGAGGTTGTGCGATTTGAGTTTGACACATTTGCGATAGCCTCAAATTGCACCATGAATTTCGTGTAATGGATTAAAACTGTGTCGATTTCTTACCAGAATATGTGCACATACGGCACATGTCGCGTATTCTGCAGAGAGAATTTGTGAAATCCATAATTCACTGAGTTATACTAAACCATTTCAGTTCATAATTTTCGGTGACAACGGAAAACGACGTTACCAAT